AGAGAGACAGAGAGAGACAGAGAGAGAGAGAGAGAGAGAGAGAGACCAGGAACCAGCCAGGCAGGCAGCCACAGAGAAAGCAGGAAAGTAGGACACACAGAACGAAGGGTTAAAAAAAAATAAACCCAAGGCAAAACATAGGTGAAGAGAAACAGTTAAATTAAGTTATAAGAGCTGGTGGGACACACACAAGGCTGAGCATGTAACTAGTAATGAGTCCTCTCCATGTCGTGATTTGGGGACTGGCAGTCCAAAAGAGCTTGCTACACTCCAACATCAAGACCACTCGACAAGGTGCCGGCACCATCTCACATGTGAAGAAACAGAGGCTCGGGGAGAAGGTGCATGCCCCAGCATCACTCCGGAGTGGCGCAGCAGGGAACCCTTGGTGGCTAGCATGGTGGCTAGATGCTGCAGACCCAACCCCCGGCGGCTCCAGCTCCCCCACAGCTGCAGCATCTCTCAGAGCCATTCCCTGGCGTTTCTAAGCTGGTCCTGTACTTCCTGACCCCCTTCTGAGGCTATCAAAGCCCCCATTCTCCGAGCACAGCTGTGCCAGTACTCAGCCCCTCCCAGCCACGAAGCCAGGTGTCTGGGCCCTGAGGGGGGCTGCCTGAATGCAGGAGAGGGGGCAAGTCTCTACAGCCCTCCCAGTGGCCACTTCAGATGGGCACCCAGCAAGAGCCAGCACTGGAGAGGGTGCTTGGAAGTCAGGAGCTTTGGGGACAGCTTGGGTTCGCACCTCGGGCCACAGCTTTGGCCTCTGTGGGGGCTGTTGGCGTGTGGAAGTGGAAGGAGATCACAGGTTCTTCAAGAGAGCCCGGAAAATCTCCAGGGCAGGCTGGGAGACAGCCAGCTGCCCCGTGTGGGGACAGGGAGGCCTGGCCTCCTCCTAGCTCGCCTCTCCTCCTCCCTCCTTGCCCCGGGCCCTTGTGCAGTAAGCAGTCCATGGCCAGCAGCTTCTGGTTCAAGCAGCCAACCCCTGTGACGTTGCACATAACCATTTCTCATCCTGAAGACCCCTGAGGCTATGTGAACCGTGGCACCCTGTTGCTAGGACACAGGTTTGTGCAGGAACGCTGGCTCTGCTGGCTTCCAGTACCAGGACCCATGTCTAAGATCTAAAGGGCCCGCACAGAGCAGGCATGGGTCCAGTTGCCCCTCGGATGGAGGATGGAAATGGACAGCGTCCTTTGGCTATGAGTCAAGATGCCAGACTTCAAAATCGGAGGGAAGGTACTTATGGGCAGTGGTTAGAGTCGAGTCTGGATAGACCTCAATGTAAATATCCCCAGCTGGCAACAAAGGAGGCCTTCAGGATGCCCGCTTTCTGGAAAGGGCTCCCTCACAAAGGCCCAGCCCACAGTGGGCTTCTCAGCCCCTAGTCAGAATGGTTGGGACAGACCTTGGTCAGGGTGTGGGTGATGTAGAAAAGATCCCACATGTGTGCTGGAGCCCTGCTGGGTGTGGGTGGGCTTGTAGCCCAGAAGCAGGAGAGCGAGGTTCAGAGGCCAGGGTGTCCCTCTGCTCTTCTGGCTTCCCCAGGCCCCAGGAATCTGCCTACAGCAGTCTCTAACCTGCCCTGCCTCAGGAGCTCCTGCTCTCCCCAGGCACCAAGATGTGTGCACTGGTAACTGTGAGCGCAGGCGCGGGGACACGGGAATGTTGAGGGGTGGCTCTTTCCCTGTCTTCCCTGGTCACAGTCAGGATTTCCCAGGCAAAGACTGTGTTATATCTGAGACACCAACTAGACTGGGTTGCAGCACCTTGGTTTCCTAGCCCCGCCCCCTTCCACCCACCCCATCGCACCCCTCAACCCCACCTCCGTGGACCTCCAGCCCTATGTAGCCATCGCGTTGATGAGCCACGCAGATGTCACCCTGGCCCCCAGAGCCTCGGAGTCCTTCCGGACTGATGACTCCACCCGTCTTAGAACCCCAAACAGGGCCGGGTCCATAGCTGGCTTTGGAATGAATAAACGAAGACCTCCTGCCCAGCTTCCTCAGGAGCCCCACTCTGTCGCCTTCCTTTTGGGTGCCACTGCTTGGCATTTGTCTCCCCGCGTGATTCTGCTCTGGTTCCAAGGTCCTTCTGTCCTGTCCCTACAGTGGGCGGCAAGAGCTGGAATCCTCTCTTGAAACTTTTAAGGGTTTGGAGAGGACTTTGTTTTTTTAGAGGTTCTGAAGGCGTTTTGGGAACTAAGTCCGCAGCATGGGGGTGGGGCATGGTTGGGAAACTGTCCCGACGTTCCCTGGGTTGGGGGTTAAGGTGTCGCAGGTGCCCAGGGTGCATCTGGGGATCTGGAGATGATGAGGCCAAGGCCCCCACCCTGGCCTTGCTGGCGTCCAGAGGACTGAGGGGCAGGGATCTGGCTGAGTCGCCTCAAGTTGATGCCAAGGCTTTGCCTGGAGTCCCAGGCGGGAGAGGAGAAAGTGGAGAGCCTGGGAAAGCAGGGAGAAGCAGCGGGCAAAGTGGGGGCGGGCAGCTGGCAGCCCTCAAGGCCCACCCCCCGGGCACCAGGCTACACACTGGGCAGCCCAACCGGGGCTAGCAGGCTCTCCTCTGCCCGTGGGTTTTTGCAACCTAATGATGCCTGCTCCATCAGGAGCGTCCACTCACGGGGCCACTGACGCCCCAGACTTTCTGGACTTATGCTGGCTAACCCGTCGTTCTGCTGTCCCACCTCCGCCCAGCCAACATCTGCAAGGGAGCCCAGTCCAACCAAAGCTTCCTCAATCGGGGGGGGAAGGAGGATGTTTATCCCACCTGCGCCATGCACGTGGTCTTCCTCCTTTTCATAATCGGTCACTGAGCGGGGGTGGGAGGGTGGGGAGGCTGCGGTCAGCACCTCCTCTGGCCTCAGAAAACGGCTTCCCAGTTTCACCCGGCGGTGCCCTCTTTCCCGAGTCAAAGCTCCCATCACCCCTCCATCCTCTGCGCTACGAAGTTTGAGTCGGTCCTCCTCCCCCGGACCCACGGGAAGTCCCTCCGGCGTTCCCACTCGCCTCCTTGCGTCGCCACCGCGCCCTCCGTCGCTCCCTCCCCGCCCCATCTGCCCTCCCCGCGGCAAGTCCTGGGCTCCCGTCCGCGGAACCTTGTCCTACTTCGCTTGTCCTCGCTCTGGCCGCTGCCGCCCGGAACCGGCGCAGAGAAGGCGGCGGGTCCCGTGACCGCGCAGAGCCCCCCGCGGGGGCGGCCGGAGTCGGGGACGGCGCGGAAGGCGGGGCGCGTGGGAAGAAAGGGGGTTTTGTGCGGCGCCCGGCGGGCTGGCGCCCCCTTCTGCGTCCCGCGCGCCCGGCCCTGCTCGCGCCCGCGCATTGCGCCGCAGTCTCGGCGGCGGCGGCGGCTGCGGGACGCGCGGTGTGCGGTGGGGACCTCGCAAGGTGAGTGCGGAGGCCCGGCCCGGGCGGCCCGCTTACTTGCTGCGTGACCTTGGGCAAGTTTCTTGACCTCTCTGAGCCTGAGGATCCGGGCGTAGGCGAGGGCGGGCCGCGGGCCTGACTGCTGTGGGCGACGGGGAGGGTCGCCCGCCTCGGCTTCCTGGGGTCCCCGCGCACCCGAGGGCGCGGTCGGCGGCGCCTCTCCTAGGGCAGGCGTACAGGGCACTGTCCCGGCTTCGGCGCTCCAAGCCTCGCGGCCCCTCGTTCCCTGCCTCCGCCGCGCAGCCTGCAGGAGCCAGTGGGCGAGCTGCGCAGCAGCCGAGGATGCCCTGGCCGGAGGTAGGGGGCTGCTGAGCTAGCGTAGCGTCTCTGTCGTCTTCCTCCGGGAAGGGTCCGAGCGCTCGAGCCACTCGGGTCGGAAACTCGTGTCCCAAGGCAGTCGGATCCTCTGACCTCAGGCTTCCTCTCTCGTCCCCTGCTGTCCCAACACAGGTAAAAGGGGGTGGCCACGGGGCCCGGGCGTGGGAGTAGCTCCTGCTCCCACCGAGGAGTGGACCAGCCTGACCTCTCCAGCAACCCCCCCCCACCTCTGAACGCCCCGGGTCCCTTCTTGCTTCCCAGCGATAACCCTAGTTACAGCTCACACAGCCCAACCAAGAGTGAGGACCACGGCGGTGGTTAGCAGGGGAGTCTGGCCTGGGAAGACCTGGGAGGACCTGAGGGGAGGAAATTTCCCAGCACTTAGGCAGAGCGAGTGAGGGCTAGGAGTGAGAGAGGCGGCCAGTGAAGATAAGTATAATCCGAAGGAAATCTTGCCTGACCTCTTAACTTAGATCCCTGCTGTATCATCAGCCATGCAGACCTGGGTCCTCGTGTTCTCCCAACTCTGGCTCTTAAAGAGCGTGTTCGTTTCCTTCCTGGGGGCACAACGGCTCCAGATTTGACTCTGCTGGTGGCCCAGAGTTAGCGCTAGCCCTCTCTGGGCATCCACCTCCCTTTTCCCTGAGAGTGTAAATGCACTGAGATCCTCAGAAAGAGAAGCTGCTTCCAGAGCTGATGGCCAGGGCAGGGGGGTGGGGGTTTGGCCTCTCCCTGTACCCTTCTCCAGTACACTCCAAGTTGTAGGCTTTCACAAAAGATGGGTGGGGGAAGGAGCCACTGGAGAGAGGCCAGACTGGCAGGGACAGGGTCTTTGTCCCAGCTGGCTTCTGAGCCAGGAGATCCGGTGGGAAAGCCCGTGCCAGGCCCAGGGGAATGACTGGGAGCAGAGTAGGAGGGATGGAGGGGGCAGAGGATGTTGGGCACCAGGGAAGCTTCCTTACAAGTCCTTGTGGGGAGGAAGCAGGAGAGGCTGCAGTATCTGGGTTCAGTCTAGGAGGCCCTCCTGGAGGAGGAATGGCTGGGCAGGGAAGTCTGGGCTTTACCGTTGCGGAAGGAGGCTTAGGGTCGGCCCCTGAGGGCAGGGGAAAGTGGGACCACAGCTGTGCTCCCAACCCCACGCCATGGATCTGTGGGTTTGGCTCGCCAGCCCCCGGGGCTGCCTGAACCTGCAGGTGCTCAGGCCTCTCACACAGAATGCCATCTTCGCACCCCACCTACGCACGTCTTTCACACACAGGAACCCGTCTCTAGGTGGCTTATAATTTCCAAGTGCATATATGCTGTTTAGGGAACAGTGACAAAGAATCTGTATGTGTTCAGTACAGACTCTTTTTCTCTGAATGTTTGACGGATGGCTGCTTGGATGCACAGATCTGGAACTCCAGTGTACAGAGAGCCGGTTGCACAGTGCCACTCATCATTGCGTTATTAGCGTTCACTGGGCATCTACTCTGTGTCTGGTGCTGGCATGTGCACAGGGTGCTTTCTGCTGTAGATTATAGTTGGGTAAGTAGATAATAGATAATGATACCTATATATAAATGGCAGCTAGATAGGCAGATAGAAAGACAGGCAGATCACTCAAAGCACATGGCCACATCAAAATGCATAAGGTAGTAATGATGGTGCTTTTTTTCTTTACAATTGAGAAAACAGAGGCTCAGCGATGTAAGGACCTTGGCTTAGGTCACACAATGAGTTGACTGGGGACACCTCTTGGTACTGAGGAGATGGGATCAGAAACAGAGTTAGTGGTGATTCTGGTATATGCTACCCATATGGAGTGACAGAGAGCCAGAGGAAGTCCATCCTGAAGTCTAACCGCACCTTTCATCTTTCCTCCTCAACTTCTTCCATCAGTTTGCAGCATGATCCCACTGCTTCTGTCCCTGCTGGCAGCCCTGGTACTGACCCAGGCCCCTGCAGCCCTAGCTGACGATCTGAAAGAGGACAGCTCAGGTGAGCAACCCTCCAGAGGACCGTTGTCTCTGCAGCATCTCCCCTAGGACAGAAAGCCGTCTCAGTTCAACCCCAGCCACCTGCTTCCAGCCCGGGTACCGGGAAGGAGACAGACGTGGAAGCTCTGTGGGCAAGGGTTGGCGCCAATAGGGATGAGGTGGGGACCCTAGAAGGTGGGGGAGTCTTGGAGTCAGGGCTGCAAAGGGCCCGAAGGCTAGAGGCTAAGAGGGGCAGGATCCGATTCAGGACCCTGGGCAGGGCTCAGCATCCAGAGCTGGGCGAAGGCACCCTAAGCGGGTTGGTCCTGGGGGGCGGGGCTTGGAGCCACGCGCACAGGCGCACTGCGTCCTGCGTCTGGCTGCAGCGGGCTTTGACCCCTGTCCACAGAGGACCGAGCCTTCCGCGTGCGCATTGGCACCGCGCAGCTGCGGGGCGTGCTGGGCGGCGCCCTGACCATCCCATGCCACGTCCACCACCTGCGGCCGCTGACCAGCCGCCGGGCCGCGCCGGGCTTTCCCCGGGTCAAGTGGACCTTTCTGTCTGGGGACCGGGAGGCGGAGGTGCTGGTGGCGCGCGGTCTGCGGGTTAAGGTAAACGAAGCCTACAGGTTCAGAGTGGCGCTGCCCGCCTACCCCGCATCGCTCACTGATGTGTCTCTGGTGCTGAGCGAGCTGCGGCCCAATGACTCCGGGGTCTATCGCTGCGAGGTCCAGCACGGTATCGACGACAGCAGTGACGCTGTGGAGGTCAAGGTCAAAGGTGAGAAGACAGAGTGGAGTGAGGACCCTCCAGAGAGGGAGGAAAAGGACTCTGGCCCCGCAGGGAGCTGAGTGTGAGAAGGCTTAGCAAACCTTGCACGTGAAAGGCACAAGCTGAATGGGAAAAGGAGGGCGGGAAACAGTCCCGCAAGCCCTAGAGTGAGCACAATCGGACTTGGCCTTTTGTGAACAGGGAGTGACAGGGAGGGAGGTCAGTGTGCTGTTGATCGTCAGTCTCAGGAGTCCTCTCTGCTCCTCAGGGGTCGTCTTCCTCTACCGAGAGGGCTCTGCCCGCTATGCCTTCTCCTTTGCTGGAGCCCAGGAAGCCTGTGCTCGCATAGGTGCCCAGATCGCCACCCCTGAGCAGCTCTATGCTGCCTACCTCGGCGGCTATGAGCAGTGTGATGCCGGCTGGCTGTCCGACCAGACTGTGAGGTGGGCTGGGGGTGTGGACCAGGGGCCCTTGATCATTCATATCCGGGTGCTTGCTCCACCCTCCACTGAGGTTCCCTAGGGCTCCCTGCCTCTGGGAAGAAAATTGGCCCGAGGAAAGTGGATGAAGCCCTGCCTGGGGCGTACTTTCCTTTCCTGCATCCTGACATCCCCATCTCCACTTGTCACACAGCAGTGGGGTTGATATGGGACAGCCTCCTGGGGGAAGACACCAGTCCTTAGGCTCTTCCTCTCTCTTAGGTACCCCATCCAGAACCCACGGGAGGCCTGCTATGGAGACATGGACGGCTACCCTGGAGTCCGAAACTACGGAGTGGTGGGTCCTGAGGATCTCTACGATGTCTACTGTTATGCCGAGGACCTAAATGGTGATTGAGAGTGAGAAGCCCTTTCTGCAACAAGGCCCCTGGTTTCTTCTGGGTCCTCCAGTAGACTTCATGTGTCTAAGGGCGGAATAGGCAGGCAGTTGATGTACTCTTCCAAACACTGTCCCAGAAGCAAGTCCATGAGCCAACCTGACAGGTAGCTGCCATCTGGGGGTGAGTGGCGGTGTTGCCAGACCCTAGATAGAGTGAGGAACTGGGGTCAGGCTCCTCTACACACTGTTTTCATCTTGGGTTTCATGCAGACCTTAATACTGTCAGGTGGGCAAGGTGACCCCAAGTCAGGAATGAGCTTGCCTAGGAACCTGTAAGAGTCCAGGGTGGAAGGCCTGCCGACTGCCTGATGACCCAGCTCCTCTTCTCACTCAGGAGAACTGTTTCTAGGCGCCCCTCCCGGCAAGCTGACATGGGAGGAGGCTCGGGACTACTGTCTGGAACGGGGTGCACAGATTGCCAGTACAGGCCAGCTGTATGCAGCCTGGAATGGTGGCCTGGACCGATGCAGCCCCGGCTGGCTGGCTGATGGCAGCGTGCGCTACCCCATCGTCACTCCCAGCCAACGCTGTGGTGGGGGTCTGCCGGGAGTCAAGACCCTCTTCCTCTTCCCCAACCAGACCGGCTTCCCCAGCAAGCAGAACCGCTTCAATGTCTACTGCTTCCGAGGTGAGTGGCCTCAGACGCGGGCGCCAGGCCTGTAAGTCTATCCTCGCCTTCACCATCTTCTTGGTCATTTGCCCACAGGGGTCTTAATGGTGCTCAGCTTGTCGTCTAGGGTCTGGGCATCTTCCCTGTGTCCTCTGCATCATTTCACCTGCCTCCCCCTCAGTAGTCTGTACCGGTTCCCGCCAGTTCCAGAGTTGCCTCAGTCCCCACATCTCTGTCAGCATATTGGCCAGCACAGGTGGCTGAGACTCTTTCCCACCCACGAACCAACTGTCCCAGTTCTTCAGTGAGCCACAAGCCCCCAGGAGCTCCTGAGTGTGCCCCAGACCCTACAGCTTACGGGTGTCAGGTCTTTCAACATGGGATGCTGATGAGTGGACAGAGGGTGGTACCTGGAAGTCAGCTGGGTATGGAGGTTCTGAGCTAAGCACTCTGTCCTGAAGGAAACAGTAAGAGACATCAGTGGGGAGGGGCGGGGAGAGAAGATGGAGGACAGGCAGCGGGGATGCAGCTTTGCTGGTCTGGAGTGGGATGGAGCAAAGCTCACTGGAACAGGTCAGAGGGCCAGGGACACACAATCCTGTCTGTCCTGGCCGGGAGACAGCCCTCTGGGGTCCTCTGAGCCCAATTCTGCTTTGGAGACATTGGCTCTCTGCCCTGTGTTCCTTCCCCAGGGGACAAGGCAGTTCATCCATCCTAAGCCACTGAGCAGAGCACGCAGAAGGTGCTCCCTCCCTTTTTCCCGTTGCCTTAGTGAGCTCCAAGCTCCCCAGACAGTGATGTGCCTGGGGGATGGAGTCCGTACCCTTCTCAACCCAGACTCATGCTACAAAGTACAGCGGCTGCTCCATCCACCCACTCTGTGTTCCCTCACTTCGGGGAGCAGCTCGTTCCGACGTTCCAGACCCCTCTGAAGGAAAATGAGCCCCCACTTTGTCTTATAACGTCTCAAGTGTTCCTTTTATTGTGTATTTAATGTGTTTATTGCCGATGTCTGTTTTCTCAGGATGGGCTTTTCCCAGCATTCTCTATACCCTACCCAGAAAATGCTTGGCTGAAAACTAGCAGGCACCCCATTAGTACCCAAGAAAGGAGTGATGACGTTCCAGGGTGCCCTTGGGCCCCCTGTGAGAAGCTGTGGAAGGATGAAGCATGTTCCAGGGCCTGTTGCCTCAAATGCAGGCCATGCCCTGAAAGGACTCAGCTGCCTACTTAGCTCTCCATTGGCCTTTTCCTCTTGCCGCAGACTCTGCCCAGCCCTCTGCCTTCTCTGAGGCCTCCAGCCCAGCCTCTGATGGACTAGAGGCCATTGTCACCGTGACAGAGAAACTGGAGGAACTTCAATTGCCTCGGGAAGTGGAGAGCGAGTCCCGTGGGGCCATCTACTCCATTCCCATCATGGAGGATGGGGGAGGAGGCAGCTCCTCCCCAGAAGACCCATCAGAGGCCCCTAGGATTCTTCTAGGTAACTTCACCTTGGATTCTAACCACCTGAGAGAAGTTGGGGGCAGGAGGGCAAGCCCAGGTGGATGCTGGGGTCACAGCTGCCATAATTCTGGCCCGACCTTTCTCAGCAGCTCCACCACACAAGGCATCGTTCCTTTCCCTCTCACAAACGTGGTATCCAAGTAAATTCCACCTCCAGTTCTCTGCAGCTAGAGAAGCATGTGTTTATCGGGTGCTGTCAGGGAAGGAAATACATTCTTTTTTTTTTTTTTTTTTTTTTTTTGGTTTTTCGAGACAGGGTTTCTCTGTGTAGCTTTGCGCCTTTCCTGGAGCTCACTTGGTAGCCCAGGCTGGCCTCGAACTCACAGAGATCCGCCTGGCTCTGCCTCCCGAGTGCTGGGATTAAAGGCGTGCGCCACCACCGCCCGGCAGGAAATACATTCTTTACCTACCCCCAGATAGATAAGACTGGGAAATGCAACGTCCTTGTCTGCCCGAGCTAGAGGCAGCTTGCAGACCCCTCCAGAGTGTGCCTCACAATGTAGCCCGGGGTCAGAGTTCTTCCCAGCAGACAGTGCACCAAGGACACCTCTCTCCCAGGTCTCCCAGGTGCCCTCCCTCCCCCAGGCCCCACCCTTCTCCAGGCCCCACCCTTCCCCAGCTTGCTCTGGGGGGTGCTGTCCCTGGTGCTGAACTGTTTTGCTGTGGTCAGAATCGGAAACCCAATCCAGTGCACCACCGACCGTGTCCTCGGAAGAGGAAGCCGTAGCCCTGGAGGAAGAAGAAAGATACAAAGACACAGAGGCTCTGGAGGAGGAGAAGGAGCCGGAGGACCTGTGGGTGTGGCCCAGGGAACTCAGCAGCCCTCTCCCCACTGGCTTGGAAACAGAGCAGTCACTCTCCCAGGTGTCCCCACCAGCCGGGGACGGGGATGTTCTGCAGCTGGGTGCATCACCTTCTCCCAGGCCTCCCAGGGTCCGTGGACCACCTGCAGAGACTTTACTCCCTCCAAGGGAGGGAAGTCTCACATCCACTCCAGATGGGGCAAGAGAAGCAGTGGGGGAAACTGGGAGCCCCGAGCTCTCTGGGGTCCCTCGAGAGAGTGAGGAGGCAGGGAGCTCCAGCTTGGAGGATGGCCCTTCCCTGCTTCCAGCCACGTGGGCCCCTGAGGGTGCCAGGGAGCTGGAGACCCCCTCAGGAGAGAAGTCTGGAAGAACTGTTCTGGCAGGGACCTCAGTGCAGGCCCAGCCAGTCCTGCCCACCGACAGTGCCAGCCGAGGCGGAGTGGCGGTGGCTCCCTCATCAGGTAATTCTGCCGAAGGCTCGATGCCCCCATTCTTCCTTTTGCTCCTTCTCCAGCTCTGGGCCACCTGACATGTAGGCCTTTAATCCGCCTTCTCCCCGGACCCTCTGGTCCTTTGCTCTCATCCTTGTGGATCTCCAGACTTGGGTGTCCCATCTTGCACTTCCAACCCGTCCTCTGTTCCTCTCCGCTACCCAAGCCCCACTACTGACCCGTGGGCTCTCTGCTGTAGCTCACATCTCACTGGCCACACAGAATGTCCTCACGCCTCTTCCCTGTGCCCTCACCACCCATCACACCCTCTGAAGCCAGGCCTGTCATCTGCTGTCCCCCTCCCCCTGTACCCTTTGTCCCATCCCTTTAATCACCTCTCAGCGATTCCGGGAAGCCTGAGAGACCATACCTGCCCCTCGCCTCTGGGGACCAGAATATTCAGCCCAAAGAGCCTTAAGCCACTACTTCTGTGAAGTAATTTTTTTGACTGTTTCGTGGAAAACAAGCCTTGGAAATAAATCTCTATTAAAGTGCTTTGTACCCACCGTTGACACCCTGTCCATTTCCAGCTGTCTTCTCTGCTCACAACTGAGTCTGAATCGGGAATCTCTGGTCCCATGTATACCCTCTCCATCCCTCTGTGTCTCTCCATGTGTCTCTTCGCCACTCTTCTTCAGCCAGCATCCTTGCTCTTCCCACAGGGCAGCGGCCCCTTGCTGTCCCCTCTGTCTCTCCTCGGGCCATCTACACTTCCCCTCATACTACTGAGACCCCAGACTTGACTGTACACATCCCCCAAGGGAGTCCCCTGTCACCTACAGAAGAAGCCCACCCAGCCAGGGTGTGGGGTGGTACCTACCCGGGCAGGTCCTGCGTGGGCCCAGTTCTCCGGCTTCCCAAGGTTTACGCACACTATCTTCCTTCCGGTGTCCACTAAGAGACAGTACTGCTGCCCCCTGTGCCCAGTGCCCGCCTCCTGCACTAACCCTGCACTAATGACCACCCCCAACCCCAGGAGAAATGGGTTCATGCTCTTCAACACCAAGGATCTGTCTCGCATGGAGGGGGGGCGGGGGATGGGAGGAAAGGAGCTGGCTTCCACCGTCTGAGAGGACCCTTCCGGCCCAGAAGCCGGAGGTTCCCGTCAGAAGCCCTCAGCCAAGGCTGAGTCCTCCCCGGTTCTCACCGCTCCTCCATGGCCCAAGTGGAGGAGCACCCCCATGTCATCATCAGCTCACCCATTTCAGCTGTGACCTTTTCTGCCCGCTGGCCCTGGAGGGGATGTAGTGAGAAGGGGATTTCTGCAGTATCAGCCCTACCCATAGAGGGAGCCAGAGGCCCCATGCCTGCTATGTTGGAGGTGGGAAAGAAATGCTGTCTGGCTCAGTGGGGTGCAAAAGGAGGAAGGAGACCCCAAAAGGAGTCCCTTCACCCCACACTGCCCAGCCAAGGTCCAGGCCCAGTAGCCCACAGCCAGAGTGGAACTTATGCCTTAGTGAGCAGGGGGACCGAGGACGGAGCTTAGGAGTGTCTCTCCCAAGGTTAGAGGGCTGCCCAGGAAGCGGAGGAACAGAAACGATGAGGCCTTCCAGGAGCTCAGGACTCTCACTTCATCACCTGACACCAGGCTTCACCTCACTGGGGAGACTGTTGGTGGAGGAAGTGAGGAAGGGATGCTCGGAAGGCTGATTGGTCCAGCCTATCTTAGCTAGGTCATCCAGCAAATTAGCTCAGCTTCTCCTCCCCCCCACCCCTGCCCGTGCCAGCACGAAGCATTACGGGCCTTGTGGCTGCTGGTGGGAATAGTTCGGAGGGACCTGGTCCACACTGCTGGTTAAAGAAGCCACTCTCTCTGGTCTTCTAGACCGGAATGGAGCAGATGCTGGCAGCTCCTCCAGCATCTAGGCAGGGCCCAGAGAGAAGGCTGGAAGGCGGGTAGCCCGGCCCGAGACTGGCAGGAATCCAGGCCTCATAACTGACTGACAGCCCAGGGCTTCTCCCCTTTCTTCTTCCCGTCAGCTGATCCGGGGCTCACACTGGTGGGAGCATGATGGCCTTCTGCAAGGATGAGCCGGTTAGAGTGAGGAGAGAAGCCCAGAACTAGGGGGTGGGCTCCAGCAAGGGCCAGCTCTGTTACCTCCCTGCTCTGGAAGGTGTCTGGGCTGGGGGGCCCTGAAGCCCCCTTCTGGAGAGCTCTGCCCAGCATCACCCTCATGCCCCTCCACTTCACTTCTCTCCCCGTCAGGTGACTGTATTCCCAGCCCCTGCCACAATGGTGGGACGTGCTTGGAGGAGAAGGAGGGTTTCCGCTGCCTCTGTTTGCCAGGCTATGGGGGGGACCTGTGCGATGTTGGTGAGTGTGTTTGAGGGGCGCGGAGGCAGGTCGCAAGGCTGGACCCTACCCCAATGTACTAGTTCCCAAGGTGGAGGGAGGTCACTGGTTTGGGCCTCACTCTCACTGGCCTGCCTCCGGGGCAGGGAGGCGGGTAGACTCTTCTCCAGCATGGAGGACTGCACAGGCCAGGGCTGATGAGCCAGCTGACCCAGCCACTGCCCAAGCACCGCCGAGGGCTCCTGGGACGCACTAGGGTGGCTCTAAGCCCTCCCTCCTGCTGCTAGCCGGCCAGCTGAAGAAGCCAATCTGAGACCTGGCAGCCTAAAACGCTCCCTCCCCCTGTGCCCCAGGCCTCCACTTCTGCAGCCCTGGCTGGGAAGCCTTCCAGGGTGCCTGCTACAAGCACTTTTCCACGCGGAGGAGCTGGGAGGAGGCAGAAAGTCAGTGCCGAGCACTAGGTGCGCATCTGACCAGCATCTGCACCCCAGAGGAGCAGGACTTCGTCAACGGTGGGTGGAGCCCGGCTTCCGGCGCATGCTCCGCACCTAGCCCACTCCTCACTCCTCCCCGCCCCCACTCCTTTCTCCCTCCGTCCCCACTCCTCTCCCTCCCTCCCTCCCTCCCTCCCTCTCTCCCTCCCTCCCTCTCTCTCTCCCTTCCCTCACTCCTTCTGCCTCTCACTCACTGGGAGGCGTGCTGTGGGGTGATTGGGCAACATGTCCTACATTTGCCGGGCTGCCTAGACTGCCGGGCTCCCCGTTTCCTAGTGCCTCTGCTTCCCTAACTCTGTGGTAACAAGGTTTGCTCTCCTCTTTCCCTCCCCAAGTGCTATTCTCCACCTGCATGCCCTGGCTTCTGTGGGGTGTGGAGGTTACTTAAGAAGCCAGGGAGACAGGCTAGAGAGGTGACGTAGTAGGTTAAGAGCCCTGGCTGCTTTCCTGAAGGATCCAGGGTTCGATTCCCAGCCGTCACAGGACAGCTCACAACCATCTAGTCCCGGGGACTCTGAAGCCCTCTGGCCTCTGAGGACATTGTACACAAGTGATACACAGACATTTATGCAGATGAAATACCCATATACATAAAATTAAAAATTAATCCGGGCGGTGGTGGCGCACACCTTTTATCCCAGCACTCGAGAGGCAGAGGCAGGCGGATCTCTGTGAGTTTGAGGCCAGCCTGGTCTACAAAGTGAGTTCTAGGAAAGGCACAAAAAACTACACAGAGAAACCCTGTCTCAAAAAACCAAAAATAAATAAATAAATAAAAATTAAAAACCTTCAAAAGAAAAGAATTTAGGGAGTCTTTATGGCATTAAATATAAATATCTTACCTGGGGAAAAAGAGAGAAAAGAGGGATGGAGACCGACCGTCTGTTGGTGGTGCTGCTCTCCTGGTAGAGGAGCCTGTTCCTGAGCCAGCAGCCACAAGCCAGCAAGACTTAGGGAGCAAGTTTTTGGATGGACTCCCTACAGGGTCAGTCACTGCCTGGGCACACAGGGCTTACTGCCCACTGCATCTCTGGTTCTTCTCCCCAGATCGCTACCGGGAGTACCAGTGGATTGGGCTCAATGACCGGACCATCGAGGGTGACTTCTTGTGGTCCGATGGTGCCCCTCTGGTGAGGACTCTTACTGCAATGTCGGCTGGGTCACTTCCTGGACGCCCTTCTGCCCCCATCTTTCCCCTGGACCCCTTCTTTTCTTGTCTCTGTCTCCTCTTTCCTGCAAAGCCCCTGTCCCAGTCACCAGACCCCTGCCCTCCCACATCCCCCCGGGTACCCCCAAGCCCTCCCTCCAGTTCTTGGAGGCCATCCATTCCTCCTGGTACTTCTGGGGTTTAAGCTTCTCACCACCTCCTCCACTCCCCCTTCCCAGCTCTATGAAAACTGGAACCCTGGGCAGCCTGACAGCTACTTCCTGTCTGGGGAGAACTGTGTGGTCATGGTGTGGCATGACCAGGGACAGTGGAGTGATGTGCCTTGCAACTACCACCTCTCCTACACCTGCAAGATGGGGCTTGGTGAGGGCTGGCAAGGGGAAGGGTGGCTGGATCTGCCGCTTACAAAAGGAGAGAGGGCAAAGCTACCCAGAAGAGCCCGTCAGGGGGTACCCCAGACTGCGGGAGGGTGACACATTACATTGGCCCGCTCAGAAACCCCTAATTTTTCTTGTCAGTCATGGCCACTCCTTCCCTCCCCATCAAGTTTCTGGGAGCCATCACCCACAAGCCAGGCTCCCACTTCTAACTGTGCGCCTCTTGCAGTGTCCTGTGGGCCTCCGCCACAGCTGCCCCTGGCTCAAATATTTGGTCGTCCTCGGCTGCGCTACGCGGTGGACACCGTACTACGATATCGGTGCCGAGAGGGGCTGGCCCAGCGCAACCTGCCTTTGATCCGCTGCCAGGAGAACGGGCTCTGGGAGGCCCCTCAGATTTCCTGTGTGCCCCGAAGGCCGGTGAGTGACAAGAGGGAGCGGGTGGGGGCCACCAGCTACTTGGTCACTCTGCCTGTCATTCACTGACAGTGTGAGCTTGGAGTGGCCACTGCCTCTCTCTGAGGCCAACAGAAGGCAGTGGGCTGGAGATCTGGAGACCCCTTAGGTGCAGGTGGCTGAGAACATGCAACCACTCTTGGGCCCCTAAGACCTCTTTTGATGAGGTCGGGAGTTAAATCGAGGACTCAGGGTACTGAGGAGACTAAGGGAGAGCCCAGTGTGGAGGGTGAGGATGTGTGTCTTCCCTAGGCCCGCGCTCTGCGCTCAGCGGACACCCCAGGAGGACCACAAGGACGGCTCCCAAGGCACAGGAAGGCACTGTTGACACCTCCATCCAGTCTTTAGGGAGCCGGCCTGGAATACTGCTGCCCCCAGCACTGCCCTGTCTCTTCAGCTGCCTGTCCACTTCCTGTAACAGGGAGTGGCGTGAGAGGGGTGGGGCTGGGCAGTGCCAGAAGGGGTCCCTGGGAAAACACTTGGATGGCTGCACCCAGCCTAGGCCCTCTCTATTATACCCGGCCCTCAGGTTTTACCCTCAGGACAATGGGTAAGTCCCTAAGTGCCTCAACTTCTCTCTTATGTCAGCTGCCTCCTTGTCCCTCAGTTTCTCCAGGGGACACTGTGCTACTCATTCTTAATTTTCAAAGTGTTTTCAGGATGGAGTGCCAGCAAAACCAGATGGGAATAAAGCTGTTTGAACCCAAACAAGTGTGATGCTTCCGTGTGAGTGTGGACAGACAGTGCTGGGCAGAACCTCCAAGGGTAGGTGTGAGTAGGGCCGCTGAAATTATTAGCTTGCAAAAGGGTCAGAGAAGTCACCAAGAAGGTGGTGGATAGAGCAGTGTCTGGTGCAAAAGAGTTGCCCAGCCAGTTGAGGATTCATCACTGCCTGCATGGGGACATCAGCGGAATGAAGAGTCCGGTTTGGGGAGAGGGGGCCTCCTGGTGGCTTCATTCTGAGCTTCAGAGAGTGCCTCCAGGAACCGCAGTGATGAAGGGAAGGCTGGGTGATGGACGGAGAAGCAGGAGGATGGAAATTTTAAAAAACAAGGTAAGAAGGACCAGTGTCCTCCGCCACGCCAAGGCTCTCACAGGCTGTGACCAGTAGAGGGCGCAGCGGATACAGGTATGTGATTCTAGACGACGTGATGGACCGAGACCAGAGAGAGGCCAAAAGGCCACCAGGCGGCGGCGTGGCCTTTCTGTCATGTGGGGACTCTTGGAAGTGAGGAGCAGTTGAGTGGGGGGCGGGCGGGGGGGGCAGAACTTCCGGCCGGCCAGACTGGCCTGGCCCGGGCTGAGTCAGCGGAGGCTGAAGTGATGAGGTCACTGCAGGCTAGGAAGTGGATGACCGGTGGTGTCTGAACCAGCCAGAGCTCCGTGGACTCCTCAGTGCAGCCTTGCCTTGGCTGGAGTGCCCGTCCTGATGAAGACAAGTTATGGCTGCAGATCCTCACACCTGGCTCACTCAGCATTGAGTGTCCTGTGGACACAATCCTTATGCCCATTAATCTACCTGGCGACTCTTGGTTCTTTCCTGAGGGTCTTGGGAAGGTAGTGCTGAGGACCTGGGGCTCTCCTGGCCCTTCTTTGAGAAAGCACCGATTTCTCAGAGCTTATCACCTTCCTTTCTCCTGGCCTGGTCTCATCTGCCTACCCACACAGCCAGCCCAGAATGGCCCAAGAGTACAAACTGGTTCTTATGGTGCTATAGGGGAGAGATTGAGGCTGGGGCTGGAGTGGACCCTGCTTTATCCTGTATTGGCCTGTGGTTGCACATGCAATGCCTGACGGAGGCTGGTGAGGCATTTAGCTGGAACTGTGAATGGATGACCTGGGTGACCTTTGAGGATGGATCCTGAAAAGGAGCAGGCTGGAGAGGGGGCAGTGTCTGTCTGTCCTTCGGGTTCAGAGCTCATTGAGACAAAGTCTAGATACTACGGTGGATTTGTGGCACCGGGGGCTTCCCAACCCTCTCCCCAAAGTGCTCCTCCGGTCTCCCATGGCACGGCTCCATCTTCTCTGCTCGGTGGACAAGGAGAGTTCCAGAAGTAGATAGAGGACTAGAACAAGAATTCTCCACCACCTGCCGGGCTTCTCTGGCAGAGCAGCAAACAGGAAGCTTGGGCCTGGCTAAGCTGTGCTTCCTGGGGAAGGGGGGGAGAGGGGGGTGTCCCAGGATGACTCAGCAGTGCCCTGCACAGAAGGTAGCTACTCTGTGCCTCAGAAAGAGGCCCCGTATGGAGCACCCGCATACCTTTTTGGAGAGATGGAGTAGGGCGACACCCCCAGTCACCTCTGCCACACTATCGGGACCCTGACTGTGTGGCCCAGCACTCAGCCTCCTTCACATATGAGTAGAGTGGGGTTCCCAACGGGGTGTCTTGTCCCGGGGTTTAGGAGGCATTGGAAAAGAGAGACCCACCCTGGATCACAGGTAGGGGCTTGAGCATTGCCCAGGGCCTTGGAGCCTGTGATTTGGCTTTCTGCCAGGTTCCTGCTGCCCCTGGAGGCTCCGACACACTCTGACCCTGTTGCTCACCATACCCTTGCCTCCTACAGGACTGTCTCAACCTCACTGGGGGCCTTTGTCTGTGGGCCTGACTCCTGCATGGGGAGAGAAAGGGTCCCATTGTCCTGGTGTCCACAGTGACTTAGCAGTTCCTGAAGACTTCTAAAAATGCCCAGCCTGTCAGAGATCTTTTTCAGGCACTGTAGTCAGATCCTGACTCACAGTGCCTGCCAGGTGCCCCCTCTCTCAGGGCATGATGCAAGCAGCTCTCCCTTCCCCAGATGGGGGTCTTTCCTGAGGTCTGACTTCTATTTGGCTTGCTGCAAAATAGCTAGCTTCCTCCTGGGCAGAGGCTGAGGAAAGGCGGGAAAGAGAAGCTGGTGGACAGCATCCCACTAAGCCAATGGCTCACATGACAGGCTAAGTGGGTGAACCCTGAGCCTCTGGGTACCCAGTTGGTTCTGTCTTGGTGTTTAAGTTGATTGTTAATAGAGAGAAGACTGATGGCCACTTAAGACTGGAATTAAATTCTACTCCTATTTAATACTCAATGTGAGGCAGCCCAAAGCTCCCTGGCCCAAGTTCTGCTGACCCCAAGGGGCATCTGGAGACACTACATCATTGACAAGATGTATCACGCTATACCTCAGTTTCCCCATTACAGACAGCTGAGGTCCCCTAAGGTGCCTGGAACTCAGAGCAATCCTGGAGAGACAGAGCGACTCTGGAGGGCTGAGATGAAGAGGCGGGAGGGTTGAAGGGACCCCTGAGCGGTGAGGGAGGCGTTCATTAATGAGGACAAAGGGCCCCGGAGAACCCAGGAGGAGCCCAGGGCTAACCCAGATCTCCTGAGGAGGCACCCTTCCTGGGGCCCAGGGCCAACGGATTATGAGCAGCTGAGCCCACAGCTGCAGGGAGGGGGTTCCTCGACAGAGGCCTCCTGGCACCTGCCTCAGTTTATTTCTGGAGCCACAGCTGAGTCCTAAGGGTCGGGAGGGAGGAGGGAGCTGGGGGAGGGGAGTTCATCAGGACTGAAGGAGGAGACGCTAAGAGGGAAGAAGGGGGTGTTGGGACCTGGGGTCCAGACACCTGGGGCCATCCTTTTGGGGCAGGGCATGCAGAATGGCAGTTAGGCTACAAGATGCACGTTGGCATTGGAGCACCCGGGCACCAGGCCTGGAGAGGGCTGGGACAAGAGGCAGGTCTGCCACTCCTGAGATGCAGCCAGGCGCTGGATTGTGGAGTCAGAAGGTGGGGTGGCGAGGGGGTTCAGGGTGAAGGAAGCAGGGACCCTAGAAGAAGAAACACCAATGCAGACTGCTGAGGTCCTCGGCCCCTGAGCCAGGCTACGTCCATGGTTCTACAGCAGCGTGCTCTAGTGTGGTCCTAAGGTGGCCCTGTGGGCTCAGGGACCTGTACTAGGGAGAAATCACTCTTCTTCCTCCTCCTCCCAGGAGGACTCAAGCCTAACTTCCAACCATCCTGTGGCGGTTACCCATCCGAGAATTTAACCCTCCCCTGAGAGGTGGGATGGGGTACAACAGGAACTCACTAGGGAGCCTGCCTGTCCCTGAGCCAGAGTCCAGTCGGGTTTTCTGGGCTGGGTGGGCTCGCCTTCCCGGGGAAGTACAGACAGCACATTCCAGACAAAATGAAATCACATTCCTTCATCCCCCACCAGAGAGGATGGCATCATTGACAGCAGCTGCCGCAGCACAGGTCAGGTGGCAGCAGCTGGTGGCCCAGGGTGAGGCTGGGGTGTGGGCCGTGGGCAGGACAGGAATGAAGAGGGGGATTTTCTTTCAGACAATGAATGGATGCCGATTCTTTGACCCAGTGATTCCAGCACTGGAGGTCGAGGGTGATGTCATTCATGTCAGAACGATCTGGAGCCTCAAGGAAGGGTTCGGTTCACCCAGTACCTTCCAGGTGAAAAGCCCAGGCTCTGGGGGTCCAGGGGCTCAAGATCACCTTCTGAGAGCCCCACCCAGGATGGGTGCTCACAGCGGGCAGGCGGAGGGAGCGCTTTAAGAAGCCACACTCAGAGCGCCTTTGGCTGGAACACAAAGCCTGGACTTGGATTTCCTTTGAGACTCCCGCAGCTCCAGGGACAGCATCAGGCTGGGCTGGAGGGAGCCTCTGCCCCTGACCTCACCCTTGGAGGCGCCTCAGCCTGCACAGCCTTATAAGGAAGTGCCCCAAACAAACTGAGGAAGCCACCTCCGCCCGACACCCCCCCCCCCAACAAGCCTGTCTCCGGCCAGCTCAGAGGCTATATTTACCAGAGGAGGCCCCAGAATAACCTCCCCCTGTCTCATGCTGTGTGTGTGTGTTGGGGAATGTTTCATCTCTTGCCCCCTCCTCATCCCCTTCTGTGGGGACTCCACCCTTAGAAGTGTGTCCTTCTGTCACTCATTCACTCTGTCCTCAGGGACTTCCGGCACCAACCAGTCCTTGCCCCCTGAAGCACTGTAACGTTCTTACCCTGTTTTTGTCCTCTTGGGCTACTTAGTCGGCCTTCTGGGAGTTCCCAGGGTCTCTGTGGGCCTCTCCTCACTCTATTCAAGCTCTGCTAAGATTCCAACTCTGGTCCCTACTTGGTCCTCTCTCCTGAGTCCTGGGTCCCGAGCGTACCCTCTGCCCTATCCCAAGCCCGTCTGTCTTGGAAAGTGGCAGCACACGTCCAGTGTGTGCACGCAGCCCTGGGTCACCAGCAGACTAGTGCTCCTGGTCTCCCCCGCTGCTCCTGAGACTTCACTCTCTCCCCCATCTCTCCATGTCCTCTCCTGCACCTTGGCCTGCACCTGTACCAGGGGCAGGCTCCCTCCTGTCCCAGCTCGGCCTGTTCTCAGGAAACGGAAGTCCTGGGCACAAACCTTCAGCAACATCCATTTCTCTGAGGAAGAGTCCCTGCTTCCTGGCTTCTTGCTGAGGACTTTGCCCACGGCCAGGGCTGCCTACAGTCTCCCCAAGCCTTCTCCCCAGCCTCTTCCCTTCCCACCACTCCACCTGCTTCCTGTCTCCCAGTGTCCCAGATCTCTTCTGTCCTAGGTACCACCGTTTCCCCACACACACCCCAGTATTCTCTCCAGCACTCAGGGTAGCCTGCCCTGCCCGGCTCTGTGCCCTACCCAGCACACATCTGTCTCCAGAGACAGTTTCACCCTGGCAGCCTTTGCTCAGGAGCTGCTCA